ATTTCATGAATATTTTCATGATTGACACCCAAAATTGTGCTTGCATTGAGTAAGCAGAGTTTCTCTGGGGCTTATCGATGTGTTGTGAAGAAAAATGATTTTGTTCATTGAGTTTTTGTTGAAGAACTTGCAGTATATCCAACCTTGTTGGGCTCAGAGAGAGCAAATGTCAATGGGAATTTATGGAAACAGGTTTATTAATTTGGCTTATGCGAACTTTTTTTTACCCCCAATTTTAGTTTAATAAAATATGCTTAGGGAGCAGAAAATCTTTTACTGTTGTATAGAAGTCTCATTTAATCATGATCTACCAATCATGATTTCTAGCAATAGATAAGTAACAATGCTGTAAAAAATAATGAAAAAATAAAAAAATTAAAACAATATTTGGCTATTTTCCCCTAGTATTTTGAAATAATTCCTAAGATTAGAAATCTGCCCTTGTAGCATATTAAATAGAAATTATTTTTCTGATTTGAGTATATTAGAAACAGTGCTCACAGATAAATCAATGTCTTGTATTGTTTTAACAACAAAATGAAATATTTGTCTACTGCTTTACTAGTTTCTGAGACTTTTCTCAATTCTGATGACTAAATCCTTTATAAAGTATTGATTAATATAAGAAGATAGTAGATCCAAAAATGTGAATTATGGGGGCCGGCCCGGTGGCGCACTGGATAGTGCGCCGCTTGGGAAGCGCGGCGGTGCTCCTGCCCGAGGGTTCTGGTCCCACATGCAGACCGGTTCCCGCTCACTGGCTGAGCGAGGCGCGGGAGCAACACCGAGGGTTGCAATCCTGTTGCCGGTCCCCGGTCCGGTACGGGGGCAACACTGAGGGTTGTGATCCGTTGCCGGACACGGAAAAAGACAAAAAAAAAAAAAAAATGTGAATTATGATCTAGAGATTTTCAGGGAACATATGAACCCAATTTGGTTTATTTGTTTTATTATTCAACTAATTTAAATGTGATCCCTTCTTGGGAAATAATAATTTGGAAACTTAAGCATAGAATGTTAGAAAATAAAAAGGATTCTATTCTTCTAGTGAGCTCAATGTCTCACTAATACTTATCTTCCACTAGAACATGCAGCCAAGCTTTAATTTAGGGGACAGAGAGATCACAATGTGCTACTTATCCTGATAAGTGTAAACTTTTTTGTTGTAAGCTGCTCTAAGAGAAACTTTGGGGTAGGCTGGGAGTTGGTACTTCAGCATCTTGCCTTCATTCCTCAGTGAGGACAATTAGCTTTGAAATAAACCCCAAATCCTCATACTTTATAAAAATATCCTAGAAAGATGTTATGGTCATTGGAATAAATTCAATTATCTAATGAGCTAGTAATTGATAAGCACACATCTGAACTGATAATAAACCTGGTTTCTCCTGCAAAGTGCCCAAGGTACCTTTCTTCCCAATATATAGATAAATGCAATGGATTTGCTCTCATTCCATCATAATTTTTCTTTGTATTTATCAACAAGGAAATTCTCTTCAACTTTTTTTCAGTCTGATTACCTTAACTGTCCTCCTTTCTCCACCACCAATCTGCTAAGATCTTGAGGTGAATATAGATGTGGGAGTATAGGGCTCTGGCAAAGAGGTGATGGTGGTGAAGAAGGTCAGAAAGAGGTCTGGAGTCTTCCGTCCTCCCTGTCTGCTGAAACCCCTTTTCCATCTCCCCTCCTTCCAACCTCTCAGAGCCAATGCATAGCATAACCACTGAAAGAACAGCCTGACTGCTCTCTGATTCCAGACGTTTTCTATTGCAGAACTAGAGAAATATCAGACCCTTGAATCTTTTCCAGCATAATTTGAATATAATCTTGGCTCTAGTCATCAGCAGACAAGCTAATTATTTGTTCACACATGCTCTGGCCAATTTTGAGCTCATTTGGGAGCTTGTAGTAACTTTGGATTTTGTCCTTGTAAGATGACAACCTAAGAATCATCTTTTTCACTGATTCCAAGTTTTACGGCATTTTGGGATAAGTTTTATAATAATGTAGTAATTGCAGGTCAAAGAAAGAAATAAGCATTATGGGACAGGTGGATTCTTTTATAGACTAGATATAAAACATTTATCTCTTGAAGGCTTATCTTAGTAGGAAGGAAAGTCTTGATTTAAGGAAGTATTGTAAAGAAGAAAGACATAAGAGCAAGCTATTCTGACAGCAGTAGTTTTGTTCTATTAAATAAACAGTGGCACAAGTTGGGTGGAGAGTTAGACTGTGGAGAAGGCTGGAGAAATACCATGCATAGGGCATAGGGACCACGTACACGCATGCATTTAGAGGCACACTAATTTTCCATTTAAGGTTTGTTAGGACAATTAGAGGTTTTAGAACTCTGACAATAATCCTATTTGGAACATGATCTGCTTATATAAAAATAATTTTTAAAATGAAAGCTCTCATTAGCTTAAAAGGCAAGTCAAATGGTTAGCTTTAAAAGCTGAGTCACAGTCTAATTCACTGTCACAATTCACAGTTTCCCTCTTTTTTTCACTTGATAGATTAATCCCATCTCAGCAGTGCCATTAAGTATCTGCATTGATGGCATGGAAAAATACACAAAAACATCTGATATTTCTGAGCATGTGGGTTGTGACAAACTTAAATGTGTTCTAATAGAGCATCTTGCATGTAAACAGCTGAAGAGATATAATTTTTTTTAACTTAAGAATGAGGATATTGACCACTATGGGATAATTAAAAATAGCGACTCTCTGGAAAAGCAGGAGCTAAGTTGTTAAATGCCAGGGCACGAAAAGGCAATATTCTGTAATCTAAATTGGGTAATTTATATCTTTGTCACTCGAAGATTTGCTATATAGCTGTTGATGAGTCATCCCACTGACATCCCATAACTAAAGCAACTGTTGTTTCCCTTTCACAGGCAGGGTTGTAGTCAATTGAATAATAAATCATTCTGTTTTTCCCAAATCGTAGGATAGGCAGACCAATTAAGTGAGGCCCCAGAGAAGAGATTCTACCCGGTTTAAGAAGAATGCCAGTGAAGGATGTGGCCTGGACTAACTTGGTTATACTTTTCAGTGTTTAAGAGAGTAATATCATGTGGTTGTTTTAAAAATGTTTTCAATTTGTCACTGAAGATTTGTCTTAAATATTCAGAAGTCAGAAATGAATTAATTTCTTGATAACTGCTAATATCCTGGTCAGTGCCTACCTCCAGTCCCGCAGTGACCGGGTTTATGAGGAAATGCTCCTTTTCCTTACAAGTACTTACAGTTTACAGATAACCTTACAAACACACTTTACCAAGAATGGTCACTTCACATTTTCTCTTTCGAGTCTCACAATAACACTATATTATATAGAATATATATATCAGAAATTGAGATTCAGAGAGGTTACATTACTTACCCAAGGTCATACATCTAGTGAGTCAATGATCACACCTGGAGACTAGTTATTTTTGTCCTAAGCACAATGCCCTATGCATATGCATGCTACATTTTGCTGGCTTTTTGGTATGTTTATAAAATAAGGCACTATAAACATGCATTAAGGTGACTTTGGGAAATTTATTACTGGTGAAATTATCTAAATTGATATTTTTGGGAGCATTATGAACTTTAGTCTATGGTCTAAACAGAGGACAGTATGAAGAAATATCCAGTTTTAAGTGGCATTTGTCAGATGTTCAATGTAAATGAATTGGGAGTGACAGACACAGTGGACAATCCAAGATTGAGATGAAATTCTTCATCTTATGAGTATTCAGAGGTCTGGACCTGTATTTTAGGAAGAACAATATGTAAGAAGGTCTAGATACACTCAGGAAGGAAACAGCTATAAGAAATAATAAACGTGCTTAAAATACACTGATCTGGATGGATGAAGCTAGATGCTCTGTTGGTCAGGGAAGAATGAAGTGGGCTGAGGAGACTGGGATTCTGTGAAGCTAAGATCCAAGGAGACTTCCAGAAATGGGGGCATATACAAGGTGCAAGTGTTCCCTGTGAAATCTTCTGGCAAAAGCCTTTGGAATTTAACTTACATTGGAAGAACCTTGAAAGTCAGTGGAGCCATTCATTTTGTTTGGTTCTAAGCTGTGCCAAGTAACAGCATTATACTGAAATGCAGGTGTGAATTTCCATAATGTTCACTTAAATTGTTATCTCAGTCTGAAAATTTGCTCAAATGAGAGTCATTGTGTATTGATAGCTCTCAATCTGACTTTCAAGACACTTCAAAATAGTTAGAAGGGGAAAAAATGTTTTTTTAGTTGAGCTGTTAAGCCCTTTATGATATAAATAACGTTACGGTGAAAATCTTTTATTTGGGCTAGCCTTAAGAGAGACGTCTTTAATCTGTTGCAAAGTGTAGATGAGGAGATCTTTTTAAAGAAATTCAGCTTTCTGGGCCGGCCTGGTGGCGCACTGCTACAGTGTGCCGCTTGGGAGCGCGGCGGCGCTCCCGCCGAGGGTTCGGATCCCACATACAGACCGGCCACTCACTGGCTGAGCGCGGTGTGGGAGCAACACCGAGGGTTGCGATCCCGTTGCCGGTCCCGGTCCGGTACGGGCGCGACACTGAGGGTTGCAATCCGTTGCCGGTCACGAAAAAAGACAAAAAAAAAAAAAAAAAAGGAAAGAAATTCAGCTTTCTTTCTTTCACATATCTGTGGGAAGTTGAGCTAGGCAGTCAGTGTCAGCAGGTAGAGGTTCTTAAGAAATCTGCTTTAATGAGAACAAATAAGAGTGATTTTACCAAATACTTGGTACTTCATACTTCAAATATTTCATTTCAAAGGACACAGGCATTTGAAAAATAAGTTTTTTTCTGAACCTAACAACATAAATTTTCTTAGCAGTTTCTCTTTTCTGAAACAGTGAAAAGATAAATTTTAGGCTAGCCTCTGTTCAAATAATCACAATATCTAAGTGAAGTTTGAGGAGTTCATAGAGTATTACTGAATTTGTCTATATTCTAAAGGAAATTGATCCATTCTTTTCAAATTGTTTTACAGGATCCTTCAAACCAAAAATGTGGTGGAAGAAAGAAAACTGTGTCTTTCAGCAGCATGCCATCAGAAAAGAAAATTAGCAGTGCAAATGACTGTATCAGCTTCATGCAAGCTGGCTGTGAACTGAAGAAAGTTCGTCCAAATTCTCGCATTTACAACCGTTTTTTTACTCTGGACACAGACCTCCAAGCTCTTCGCTGGGAACCTTCCAAGAAAGACCTTGAGAAAGCTAAGCTTGATATTTCTGCCATAAAAGAGATCAGACTGGGAAAGAACACAGAAACATTTAGAAATAATGGCCTTGCTGACCAGATCTGTGAGGACTGTGCCTTTTCCATACTCCATGGGGAAAACTATGAGTCTCTGGACCTAGTTGCCAATTCAGCAGACGTAGCAAACATCTGGGTGTCTGGGTTAAGGTATCTGGTTTCTCGCAGTAAGCAACCCCTTGATTTTGTGGAGGGCAACCAGAACACACCAAGGTTCATGTGGTTGAAAACAGTGTTCAAAGCAGCAGATATCGATGGGAATGGGATCATGTTGGAAGATACCTCTGTAGAGTTAATAAAACAACTCAACCCTACCCTGAAGGAATCCAAGATCAGGTTAAAGTTTAAAGAAATCCAGAAGAGCAAAGAAAAACTAACCACCCGAGTGACAGAAGAGGAATTTTGTGAAGCTTTTTGTGAACTTTGTACCAGGCCAGAAGTGTATTTCTTACTTGTACAGATATCTAAAAACAAAGAATATTTGGATGCCAATGACCTCATGCTGTTTTTAGAAGCTGAGCAAGGAGTCGCCCACATCACCGAGGATATGTGCTTAGACATCATTAGGAGATATGAACTTTCTGAAGAAGGACGTCAGAAAGGGTTTCTTGCAATTGATGGCTTTACCCAGTATTTATTGTCACCAGAATGTGACATTTTCGATCCTGAGCAAAAGAAGGTTGCTCAAGATATGACCCAGCCATTATCTCACTACTATATCAATGCCTCTCATAACACATATCTGATAGAAGACCAGTTCAGAGGACCAGCTGATATCAATGGGTATGTTAGAGCTTTGAAAATGGGCTGTCGAAGTATTGAACTTGATGTAAGTGATGGTTCAGACAGTGAACCAATCCTTTGTAATCGAAATAACACGACAGCACATGTTTCCTTTAGAAGTGTCATAGAGGTGATACATAAATTTGCCTTTGTTGCTTCTGAATACCCACTCATTCTTTGCTTGGGGAATCACTGCTCCCTACCACAGCAGAAGGTAATGGTTCAACAGATGAAAAAAGTCTTTGGCAGTAAACTCTATACTGAAGCACCTTTGCCATCAGAATCCTACCTCCCATCACCAGAAAGATTAAAAAGAATGATCATTGTGAAAGGAAAGAAATTGCCTTCTGATTCAGATGTGTTAGAAGGAGAAGTAACAGATGAAGATGAAGAAGCTGAAATGTCTCGAAGGATGTCAGTAGATTACAATGGTGAGCAGAAACAAATCTGGCTCTGTAAGGAGCTCTCCGATTTGGTAACTATTTGTAAATCTGTTCAGTACCGGGATTTTGAACTGTCTATGAAAAGCCAAAACTATTGGGAAATTTGTTCATTTAGTGAAACAGAGGCCAGCCGGATTGCAAATGAATACCCAGAGGATTTTGTAAATTATAATAAAAAGTTCTTATCAAGAATCTATCCAAGTGCCATGAGGATCGATTCCAGTAACTTGAATCCACAGGACTATTGGAATTGTGGCTGTCAGATTGTGGCAATGAATTTTCAGACTCCAGGTCCAATGATGGACCTTCACACAGGCTGGTTTCTTCAAAATGGAGGATGTGGTTATGTTCTTAGACCGTCCATCATGCGAGATGAAGTTTCTTACTTCAGCGCAAATACGAAGGGCATTGTACCTGGAGTGTCTCCTCTAGCTCTTCATATCAAGATCATCAGTGGTCAGAATTTCCCAAAGCCCAAGGGAGCTTGTGCCAAAGGGGATGTCATAGATCCCTATGTTTGTATAGAGATACATGGAATTCCAGCGGACTGCTCAGAACAAAGAACTAAAACTGTGCAACAAAACAGTGATAATCCCATTTTTGATGAAACTTTTGAGTTTCAAGTAAACCTACCTGAGCTGGCCATGATCCGTTTCGTCGTTCTCGATGATGACTACATTGGGGATGAGTTTATAGGGCAATATACAATACCGTTTGAATGTTTGCAGCCTGGATATCGGCATGTTCCCCTGCGCTCCTTTGTGGGTGACATCATGGAGCATGTGACCCTTTTCGTCCACATAGCAATAACTAATCGAAGTGGCGGAGGGAAGGCACAGAAGCGCAGCCTTTCAGTGAGAATGGGGAAGAAAGTTCGAGAATATACCATGCTCAGGAATATCGGTCTTAAAACCATAGATGACATCTTTAAAATAGCAGTCCATCCCTTACGAGAAGCCATAGATATGAGAGAAAATATGCAGGTAGGAAAATATCCCACCCTCTCCTCCCCTACCTCTACTTATTCCTACCCTTCTCTTACCAGTGAATGTTGTGTTTTGTTAATAATCCGAGTTGCAAAACATCGTTAGAAAGGTTGTATGTACCACTGTATACCACTGGATTAAGTTCAGTATTGCCTGTGATGAAGCAGATATATTGTATGTTTCTAATTGTGAATGCTGTGTTAAGCTAAGCCAGTTAATGGAGTATCAGTGTAGCAACACGCTATATCTACATTAAATATCTTGAGTATGTAACCTAATTGCTAGGTGGGAATGTTTATATGGAATAATGTTTTAAAAAGTAGAATATAAAATATTATATGTGTGTAATATAGAAATATATATAAACACAGATATTAATTGCAAGTATGTTTGTAAATTATTTGCAGATACGAACATGGAAGAAAATTTGAAGTCCATGTAAAGCAAATGCAATGCTTATTAGATTGTTTTTTTAGTTGTAATGTATACCAACAACAATACTAAACTACTCCCCACAAGAAAAAACAAAGTGAAATAATTTAGCACTTAAACTTGTTGAAACTATTTAGCTTTCAAAAAAACCACTATTTAGAAATGTGGTTTAATGAAAAGAACATGGAGTCTGGATTAAATCTATTTCCATGCAATCTGGAGCAAATTATTTCAGGTCTCTGATCATCAGTTTCCTCCACATAAGGTAGGAAAAATAGTAATACTTACATCATAGGATTATTATGAGAATTAAATGAGTGTGTATGGAAATAGCCTAGCCTTAACATATAGAATTCAGTGTTCATTTCCTTCCCTTCATTAATGCTAATAATCAGAGAGAGTTGCAAACTTTTTTTTCAGTTCTGCTTAATATATGAGTACTTATTCTGGGCTACTGTTATTGAGAAGTAATTAAACAACAAATATTTACTAAGTACTTGCCATGTGCAAAGTGAGTATCATTTAATTCACTTTATTTATTCTTTTAGCTAATATTTTTATAGTAATTTTCACCAAAAAAAAAAAATCCCTACTTTCAAAGATAGAAAATAAACTTAAAGAGGTTAAGTAATTTCCCTAATATTGTAGTTAACAAATAGCAATGTTAGGCTTTAAATCCAGGATTGCCTAATACCAAAACCTATCATCATTAAGATGGTACAGAACTGCAAACCCATGACTTAATGAAAACTTTATTTTTACATTACCTCACAGAGAAATTCTTGGATAGGCTTAAAATCAATTTTAAATAATGAAAATGGTGTAAAATAGTATTACAAATAAGTATAAATATTTGAGGTGGGTTACCTTAGACATCATTTTAAAAATAGGCTCCAAATATCAGCATCTTCTATGTGACTTTTTCTGACATAATTCTAGTACTATTATAAATCCCTATATCAAATTAGTTATAAATCATTTCTATACCTAACTTTCATATTAGAAGTAGATTATATATATTTCTATGTAATATCTTTATTTATTTTATATGTTTAAAATGCATATCAAGGAGAGTTGATTATAGATAGTTTTTGTAGGTAGTGCTGATAATTTATATTATCTTAACATAAAGTCTTTTGGGTTAAGGATTATTTGGAACCTAATGAGTAGAAAAATGCATACCATCATTGTCACTAAATTCATGACACATAATAGGTTAGGTACTATTCAGTGTTAATAAAATGTAGATAGTCGTAATTCCTATTTCAAATGAACTTTTTAAAAAACACTGTAATGTGGACCGATGTTGCTGTCCATAAAATGTGATTTCAGTGTGTGTGTCTGTTAGGTGCATTTCTGATGGGATAATAAAGGAATGCCACTGATGGTTAGTGGGAGGAAGGGTGATGAACAATAGCAGCCTGCTGCCTTGAGGGGAAAAGACCAAAGGAGATACTCTCCAATATACAGCCATTGACTTTATGTTTTCCTTATCATTATGGTACAAATCAAGTAAGGTATTCATAACCAGCCAGTGCTAATTTGTGTGAATATTCCAGTGCTCTGATTTGAAAAGCACTGTGTAGCCTTGGGTCACAATCTGCTTTGCTTTTGTGGCATATTTGTGGTGGTTGCTGAAAATTGAGAAAGATGAAGTGTATGTGACATGAATTAGCTCTCTGTGCTATCTCCATGCACGTGACAACATTTTTGGTTGATTATAATCCAGTTTGCTAATTTTGTATAGATCTGGGAGTACTAGGGGAGATGTGCTGTGTAGTCAGAATTGTGATTCCATGTTTTCTTCCTCATAGAATGCCATAGTGTCTGTTAAGGAACTGTGTGGACTCCCTCCAATTGCCAGTCTGAAGCAGTCCCTGTTGACCTTGTCCTCTCGGCTCATAACCAGTGACAATACTCCCTCAGTCTCTCTTGTGATGAAAGACAGCTTTCCTTACCTGGAGCCTTTGGGTGCAATTCCAGATGTGCAGAAAAAGATGCTGGCTGCCTATGATCTGGTAGGAAATTGTGACTCCATATTTCTTATCTGGGTGTGTGGGAAATCACTCATGGCAGGGACCCTTTTGTGGAACTCCAGTGGCTAGCACAGTGTCACTGCCTTTGCAACATGAATTGGAGGTAGCAGGCAGAGCCAGCCCACTGGGCTTCCACTGTGTCCTAGTGGAGACCTCTGAGGCAATGCCTTGAACCTGGAGCTCCACAGATTACAAATGGAAAATCTCTGCTTTAGCAAACAATGAATTATTGAATAAATCCTCAAATATATATACCCTCATCATCTACATGACTTTAGATTGCAATGTAACCATTTAATTGTATACCTATAGGAAGTAAACTTTGTCTCAAAGCTACCTTATGATGGATGGAACAAAAGATTTCTCTGGAATCTAGATTTCTAAGCTAATATTGTTGTCTGATTTTTCTGAACATATAATGGAATTTGTATAGTAATTAGATTTAAGAATAACTATTTTTGCACATCATAATTCTGTAAACAAAATTAAGGAGCAAAGGACAAACTTGGAAAAATTTATAGGATATATGCCACATAAATTGTAAATATCCTTAAAATAGAAAGAACGCTTAAAAATCAGTAAGAAACAAAAAGATGAGGACAAATCTTATATCAATCAAGATTAAGTTCAGCTGGATGCAACAAAAAAATTCAACCTAATCATTGTTTAAAAACAAAATTTTATTCTTTCACATAAAAATATGAAAATCAGTCATCCAGGGTGACAATTCTGCAAATTTCTTAGGAACTCAGGCTCTCTCTCGGTTTGTTCTCCACCTTCCCTAGACTGTGGACCTTATTCTCATAGTCCAAAATAGTTGCTGAAGTTTCAACCATAACATCCTCATTCTAACCATCAGAGATGGTAAAGAGTAGAAGAAGGACATTCTTCCTCCTTTAAGGACACTTCTCTGATATAGCATAGATCACTTTTCCCTATGTTTTATGGGTCTGGAGTTGACACACAGCCACACTTAGTTGCAAAGAAGAATGGGAACTGACAAGTCAAGGGGCTATATGCTAACAATTGTCCCTTTTGTTGCTAGTAAATAGGGGAGAATGGATGCTAGGGAATAGCAAACAGTCTTTGCTACTGAGGTGAATAGGAATTCATGTGAGCCCCCACCGACCCCCCCAAAAAACAAACAAACACTGAAAGTGTGAAAACATACTTAATCTTAAAATAAGTTTTTAATTAGAGAAACTAAAGAAATGTTGTAAGATACTTCCTTCTCAACCAAATCAGCACTTCTTTTTCTTTTTAAAAATAGTACCTCTGATCAAGAATTTAAGGAAATGGATACTCTCTTCCATATGCCTCTAGTGGGATAATAAATTGATATATATATATTTTTTGGAGTAAAACTTAGCAATATATTTTAAAATGTTTATTTATTTGATCTATATATTTGCTTTCCTTGGATTTATTCTAAGCCAATAGAGATATACATAAACATTTATGTTTAATAATGCCAACAAAGAAGAATTAGTTAAATAAAATATAGTAATCCATATTATGGACTTTTTGAAGCCATTAAAATCATGTGTTAGAAAAATATTTAATGATATGGAGAATTCCTCATAATATGTTTTGTGAAAAAGTCTGTTTACAAAAATACACACAATAGAATTTTTTAAAAATTGAAATGATTGTACATATCTGTTGGGTAATGTGTTGAACATCAATAACTGTGTAATTAGTGATGTTCAAATCAGGGTGATTAGTATATTCAACGTTACACAATGTCATCGTTTTTTGTGGCCTTTTATGAATTTCTTGCTAATCGCTCCTCCCCCTGTCCATTTCCCACCTTGGTAATCTCAGTTCTATTCTCTCCTTTTGAAAGTTCAGCATATTATTGTGATTGCTGTTTCTTTTCTTTCTTTCTTTCTTTCTTTCTTTCTTTCTTTCTTTCTTTCTTTCTTTCTTTCTTTCTTTCTTTCTTTCTTTCTTTCTTTCTTTCTTTCCTTCTTTCTTTCTTTCTTTCTTT